TAAGAGAACAGAGTGTCGTCTTAGACGGGGAGGGGGGCGGGGCTTATAACTGGATAGAAGCTCTTATGTTATCACCAGCTAAATTGATATCCTCCTGTTCACCTCGGTGTTGCATTATACCCACATCTGTGTCTTATTCATTTACGAATCCACCAGTTGATTCCCTTGTGTTACTTTCTTTCAGCTCGGACGATACTATTTGCAGGAGTATGAAACATCTCAACGACAGTTAGTGCTAGAATTTACATTAAGCTCACAGCTATTGGTGAGAAATGGTGTTACTATTTCCGAATGACCAACCTTCAGACTTTACCTTTACACACATACGCAATCCTCAGTTCATCCCTCTTACCATACTCTTAGGAAGCGCCAGACCCGAGTTTTACTGTCATCAGAGTTCAGCAGAAGTGTGTATTCAATCGGGGACTCGAACTCCCGACCCATCGTCGCATAAAAGTTGCGTTACCACGTACCAACCACCTCTCATCAAAGTGATTGATTCAGGTCCTCAGAGCTCATTTCTTCTTGCAGCTACAAATGTGAGAGAATTCTGTCAGGCTTCGGAAACTAGTAGACTTTCACTGAAGGCAAAAACCGACATCGTTGATTATGCCCGGCCTCGGTGTGACCTGGTTGGCACAGAGCTAACGCACGCCGTGCATGCGAGTGGTTCTCACTCCCCTACCGGTGGGTTTTCATCATTGATGTTCCCTATCTAATGTAAAAAAACTCGAGTCTGATGCTATTTGAGCGCTTAGACGATTGAATAAACTGAGGGATTCGCGTAAAGTTTGAAGCATGGCCACTCAAAGCTACTATTCGAATTCGGAACTAAATCCGTCGGGGGTTTTTGTTGTTGACCGAAGCACCCGTGTGGGAGCTTATATAGACCTGTCACGCAAGGTCTTCGAGATTGATTTCAGTGTGTTGTTCGCAGGTGCTTTGATTGTCAGTCCGCTTTTCCGGATAGTCCCTTAGCCTCGTGCATGCAACGTGATAGGCGTTATCTGTGGACACTGAATATCAGCGTTAAAGGTAAACGGAAAGCTCTTCTCAATCATAATCACTTTCGGACTCCGGACACGTTTTCTCATTTATGAATTCGGGATTTAGTCTTGTTCTTTTTCTGCTGCTTGTCCGACTTCACTATTCCAGCTTGCTCAGGACCAGTGTGTGTGAACAGACATCTATTCAAACCCACTTGTTCATCTCCCTTTCTCACTCAGCCCATTTCCAACACTCTCACGGGGACTGTGGAATCAGCAACTGGCCGTGCTCACCCGACTGGTGTTTGCTGATTTGTGTGGCTCTGTACAGCGTCTGGATAGGATCGGTCAGTGGAAAGGACTCATCCAATGGCTCACAATGCTCACTACACTTGGCTGGTGTTTGGCATGTGTCGGAACCTGTTATCCATCGGATTCCCCACTCTCGGTCACTACCACCACGGCAGCAGCAGCCGCTGCTGCCAAACCGGTTGCTCCACTTATGCGGAAACCGGGCAAACTGCTATCCCGAGCTCTACAGATGGGATTGAAGGTGAGTCTTTCTGGGGTTGCCTTGTCCATTGGAGTGACTTGTTTAGAGGGTGGCTGCATTAATACAGTTCAGTTATGTGAACCGTCCACTTAACCTTGGTGAACCGCTTAAGTCCCAATGGGATAGACATACTATTAAGTCGGGCAGCGGGGAAGCTATTTACTCCTAAAACCAGTCTGATGGATCACAAGTCCTGATAAAAAAGAACGAGGGAGGAGATTTTCTTCTGTCACCGCTCAAACGTATTGATGCCGAGATCGGCTGATCTGTGAATAATGAATCGTGTTAAAGTAACATACTAAGGATTTGGGAGACAAGAAGTGTGATCTGTATAGAGTGAATCAGTTCTCGCACCTGGAATGTATTCTATTATACTCTTATATTCAGTCTCACACTTTGTCGGATATATGCCCATTTATTTGCCGTCTGCTGTCCAGGCCCTGCATTTGTTCTCAGGTAAAACGGATCTGGAGCAGAGCATGCTCGTGCAGTTGGTTGCACAACTTGTAGCGGTGAATAAACTATTCCGTCTCGATGGATGTGTATCCGACATGCATTTGTGGGCTAGTACGATTCAGTCTGTAGTCGGTCTCTTGTCTCAATTGATCAGTACGGTTTCCGATTCCAAAGACACTGCGATGCTGGGGCTCGGGGAACGTAACTATGCCGGGGAAACCCGCTCTATTCATACATTGAACAAATCTGCTAAGCGACTTCAACCGGTTTATGTGGCACTGTTACAGCCAATAACCGCAGGTTACGGCGGAGTCGGTGTCGCTGATTTGGACGTGTTCGGTTTCGGACGCGTTCCCTTGGGGACAACCTCGTTCTCTAATCGATGGAGCGAAGATGCTGATGACGGTTGGACTCCGACCTCGCGTGTGGCCGCTGATCAAGTAAATGTCACGATTCCCGAGATTCGTTTCACTGCATCCATTGGTTCCGTCTCCATTCGAATACGCGCAGTTGTGTTTGGTATGAATTTAGCCATGGTCAGGTATGCCATATTTGTTTGTATCGCTTCTTCTACATGCGCACTGTACTATATTGACTGTTTCAGTTTTCGCTGAATGTGATGCATGCCCCTTCCACTGGATTCATAGTTCACTTCAAGATTCATTTCAGTTCAGTGTGTACGACCATTAACCATGCACTATCGTGCGCCGGTTT